CGCGCGCGCCACCAAAGCGAGAATTGCCCAATGCCTAGAAACAAGTAACATCCCCCATCTTTAAGTCAGAAGGGTGACTCGATGGACTGCTCCAACTACCACGAGATCAAAGTATGACTGCCACTACAATAAGCTGTACGAGCGACTAGGGTCAGCTAGTAGACTTTGCGGGTAACTTGTCCCCAATTCTCCCAGGAACATTCCGGGTCAATGTCGCGAAAGGTCATACGACGATGCATCCTTCATCGCAAGACAATGCATGAGAACGTATCGGAGAAAAGCGCCGACCCCTGTTACCGTACCTTAGCTTGCCGTCGACTTGGAGAGATAAGCGTTCGACCTCTACTAGCAAGCGGTACTGTGAGAGCGCTTAGAGAACGGAACGTCCAGAACACTGCTTGTCGCGGCTGGTGAAGGCACACTGTAGCGACGGGGCTAAGCGCAGCCAAAATAGCACCCCACATCCTAACAAAACCGAGGTAAATCTATTCACGGTTTGGGGTCACCAAAGTCAGCCTCTGACCCGTTCACTCTTTACCTCTCTAACAGCTAATTGCTGGTGCGAGGGTTCTTTGAAGACACTAAATGACCATCCTCTACGCTGACACATCGCTCTGATAACGATAGCAAAAGAAAACTCACAGCCAAGGTGCAGAAATGGCAGAAGGTACTGGTAAGAGGAAGGGCTCGCGACTGAATGTCAAGAAGACCAAGTTCCTGAGGCTCCGATGAGGGTGCAAGAGCCGATCGTGTACGGCCATGGTGAGTCACCGAAGGGTGAGGACTTCCAATACTTGGAGTGATCTGGCAAGCCGACGTGCAGAGGATGGACGCGACTAGAGACAGGTCAGGAACGAACCGAAACTCCGACAGTCGTCATGCAGACTGCCCCTGTTCCAGCTGAAGGAGGAAGTCACGACGCGGTGTATGGCCATTGCTAAATAAGACACAAGGCAACCCAATAAGATAATGCAATGAACTCGAAAGCGCAAGGCAAGCGACGCTGCAGGAAACCCTAAAAAAAGGTGGAAGACGTAGCCGAGAAAGCGCCCTAAACGAAATCATGCCACTGTCAGGGATGCCCTGGAACGAGCGAAGTGGTCCACGACTGATATATATAAAAACAGCGGACCCTGCAGACGGCGCGGACTAACGCTAGCAGAAAACAGAAAGAAAAAAGGTCGCGGTTGAGTTCAGCAGCGAGGAGATCGTCATGCGGATGACCGTCCTTCTTGAACTGTGTGCAGACGAAGCGCTCGGCAGGCTCCAGCAAATCGCCATAGTCGTCTCCAAACGTATTGAGGACCTTGTTGAGATCCACCAAGGTAGGAGTGCGACAGTCGGCGACAGCAACGTCGGAAATGTGGCGGACCACGCGCAAGTGGGGGAAGTCGTCCAGTGCGAGTAGCGTCTCCGTGAATTGGGCCACGGCGGCGTTAGTCAACGTCGTGATGATATGGTGGACATCGCGCCGATCAAAATCTTGCCGGTCCCATAGGCGGCCTGAATGGCCACATAGGCGACTGCGCGGCACTAGTCCGCACCGCGTCTTTTTGAACGTGCGATTCTCTCCTGGGGCTGCCGCGCCGTCGCACGCGGCGACTGCACTTGCCGCGCGCCGCGCGACGATCGACGCGCGAAGGCAATGTGGTGATGATTCGATGTGACCGTGTGACATCGCTCGGCTCATCTCTGGCATTTTGCCGAGTTTGGGGGTGTCGATGTCGCCACTCTCTGGCATTTTGCCAAGTTTTGGGCTCTCGATCAATACGCTATTACTATTGGACTACTACTGTTTTGCTGAATGGTTGAAAGTGAGTTTGCTCATTTTGAAATAACTGAACTTCATAGACCTTGCTTTCTCTATCAAATCCCGTTTTATTTCCATGCCCCCACAATGGAAATTGAATAGCGGCAGAAACGAAAAGAAACGGTTTTATCCTTCTTCAACTCTTGGCTGTTGGAGTGAAATGTCGGTAATTTTCTCGATTCACTTCTGCCGAAACTTAGGCGTGCTTGAGTACCTGTTCATAACTTGGCTGACCTTCTTTCCAATAGCATGAAAAAGAGCAGATCATGCGGTATGGGCGATATGTTTTGACGTGTGAGTAATCCGTCATGCGTGCCATTAATGCAATGGTTTTTCTTATGTCATTCGTATATCTTATCGGTCTCATACAGTCTTCAGTTCGAAATGCATTACAGTGACGCGGACCGGCTACTTTCTCTTTGGTTTGGTCGCAACTGCCGCGGTTATGGGGAGGAGAACTTGACTCAATCGCTCAGCTCTATCCCAGACACAAAAATGACACATATTGACAGAGCGCGGGCTTTTTATACCGCTCTCGAGGGGCGGAACCAGAGACTGGCGGGAACACTGCTGTGATTGGTCGCTCGTCCATCCATGCGGTGACGTCATCACTGGCGAGCGTCCGGGCTATCGATGGACTACGGGGCTGTAGCGGTTGAAATAGAATCTACAGCTATAACAACTACAACATAAGATAAGCAACAACAAACAAAGAGACATAGAACACAATTCTTCATGGGAACATGACATTTCAGTTCTGTCTACTTCTACCTTTGCAAGGTTGGAGCTTACTGAACTCTACTCCCCTACTGTGTACTACTCTTCCGTTTTACCTACCTTTCTTACAATCTATTGATGATTTCAGCAGCATTGATATATGATATTTTTTCACCAGTGATAATAAAAAGTTTGGAACTATTTTAAGGTGCTTACTGAAGGCTGTAGAAGTCGTCTTCGTGAAACTTTCCCATCACAGCAGTGTCGAAGTGGCCAAGCGTTTATCCCAAGGTAGAAGCCAAATACATAGGTAAACGTGGCTTTCGTGTTTGTGTATTGGATCATTGTGCGACTAGAAAGTTGTTTACTTCTCAGGACAACTACTTCCAAACGCTTTGGAGATGCTCTTGTCCCTCCACCAAGTTAAAAAGCAACGCTATAGGATCTTGATGTTCTTAACTTTCACTTTATGCTCCTTTGCCTGGTTTGTACCCAAAAGTCCAATGTCGCTGCAGCAGAAAAACCTGGTATTTCCCTCTTGGCATTCCTCTCATCCTTTTTCCGACCGTTACATAATCTTATTAGGTTTCATAAGTCCAAGACTTCACGATTGACTACAGTAGAACTAACTTTTTGCCAGAAGTTTTGTTATTTAACCTGTCAGTGATTATTTCAGCTCATTCCAGTGCTTGGGGAGAAACCACCGATAACTGATGAAGAAATCAATACGTTGTCTCTCTCGTTTTCTACAGCTATAAGTGGATTCCGTATAACCCCAGGGCCAGTGGATGAAAGGTAAAATTAGCTAATTAAAATTACATTGATTCGCTGTAATCACTACATTTGATGATTTCGCCCATTGATTCTGCTCATCTCAGCAACCACACTTTGCTTGAGCGAAGGCGCCGGTTTGCCTCGAAATATGAATCGGGGTGACTACATTTGTACGACTGTCACCTTACCGTTCAAATTTAGTTCTGCGATCCTCATTCATTCACGTCCTATTTTCTGTAAATTACTGGAGACAACCTTTCTTTATTCTTGACTGCCTGCTCGTGATGTCGTAGCTTAGACGCAAAGGAAAATACTTCCTAAATGTCGGATGAGCGGTTCAAAACACAATTGGAAATTATAACAAAGCATGAAAACAATAATAGAAAACACAATTGAAAGTTACCTGCAAGCTTTTTCAATGACAACGAGGGCGATAAAGATGGAAAATGTGAAACGCATAAGAAATCTGGCGTTGGACACCTGTAGGGCATGTTTACGGTCATAACTTTACTATCTTCTCTTAAAATGGCTGATTGAGCAAAAGATCTGAAAACACAACACCAACAACGCAGATGAACGCATAGTCCTGCCACTCGACAGTCAAATTAAAGTGCTGCAACGGTGGACAATATCGTAGACGAATACAAATCCCCCAAATCGCAAAATCGCCGCGCACGCGGCGAGTGCGATTGCCGCGTGCGACGACGAGCTAACCCAGGAAGAGAAGCGCTAAGCGTCCGTCGCTCGCGGCTTCCGTCGATTTTCCTCTATGGCGGTACAGCGTGTTGGCTCTAGAGCAAATCAGTCTGTGTTGTTTCTAACCATTTCCTAGACATTACTTCTCTATTTGCTTCAAATGGGTATTGTGTAAAAAGTTTTTCATTTTGAGAAGACTTGGACTATTGAAATTCAAGTTTCAGCTATGGTGGTGGTTTTAGAATTCTCTTTATTTTGTCGAACGAATAAAAAATCGGTATGTTGATATTAAAATAAAGATATATTGATCACCTGTATCACCTGTCGTGCAGTTGATCATCGAATTGCTCGAGCGGGCGCCAGCAACGTCTCCATTCGTCCTTGCCACGTGCAAGAATTGTCCAGTAGACTCTCCTTACTCGAGGGACACGATGTCCTTCATTCGTTTCGCTCAGAGCTTTCCTGAAGATGTCTGACCATTGGGCAGGGATCCAGTCGGTTACCGCTTTGGTCCAGAGGTCATCGCAAAATCGCATGACGTGTCCAGTCCACCTTATCTTCGATTCCTTGGCGAAAACGGCAGCGTCAGCGATCATCGATCGTTGGCGTAGTTCCGTACTCCGGATTCCACTCTGCACTTGCGTGATAGGGTTACTCCTAGCGTCGTACTTTCGACAGCGCGTTGGATCGCTGACAGCAAGCTCGTCCTGCCTGCACAGAGTCCAAGTCCCTGAGGCGTATGCTAGGGCAAGAAGGACTGGGAATCGAAGAGGTGGGCACGTAGCCGGATATTCTTTGTCTTCTCTCTACTTCCTCGATGTTCTTGTACGCTCCCCAAGCCGTCCGTTTCCTCCTGCTCAGCTCTGGAGCTAGTTCGTTCATTGATTTCCCGACCTAGGTACACGTAGCTGGAGCATTCGGTGATGTTCGTTCCGTTGAGCGTGAATGGGGCATCAGCAAGCAATCCGTTTCTCATAAACATCGCTTTCGTTAGGTTCAGCTGTGGACCTACCTTTCCACAGGCACAGTCGAAATCAGCCAGCATTCCTCCGCTTGCTCGATGTTCGGCGTTACAAGAACGATGTCGTACAAAACGAAGGTGGTGTAATTGCCGGCCGCCGACCTTCACTCCCATGTCTTCCCATTCCAGTTGACGCATGACGTTCTCGAGAGCGGCGCTGAAGAGTTTGGGCGAGATGGTGTCGCCCTGTCGGACCCCTCTCTTGACGTCGAAGATGACCTCCTTGTAGAATGGTGAGGTCCTGGTCTTGAAGTTGCTGCAGAGCTCACGAAAAATCTTGATGTTCTGAGAGGGACGCCCTGGTTGCCCAAGACTTCGACGACCGCTTCTGTCTCCACAGAGTCGAAGGCCTTTTTCAAGTCGATGAACGTGAGACAAAGCGGAATCTTGTACTCTCGTGACACTTCATAGGGTCTTGTAACCGTGTGGATATGTTCGATCGTGCTGAACCCTCTTCGAAACCTGCTTGCTCGCATGGCTGTCCTTCATCCAGTATTCTGCCGATCCTGTTGAGGATGACTCGAGTGAATAGTTTATAGATTACAGACAGCAGGCAGATTGGGCGATAATTGTCAATGTCGTCCAGGTCTCCCTACTTGTACAGCAACACCGTTCTGCTGGTTTTCCACGGAGTGGGTACCTTGCATTCCGAGAGGTGGCGCGTGAAGTGTCGAGCCAGAGCTTTGATGATAACTGGCGGCGCATTCTTGAGATGTTCCGGTTCGACCCTGTCGAGACAGGGTGCTTACGATTCTTCACCGACTTGGTGGCATGTCGGACATCGGAAGAGAGTACTGAGGGGACGACGTATCCATCCTGTTGCAGTTAATAAGTGGGCAGATGGACATGGCTATCAAAGAGATCCGAGTAGAAGTCGTGGATGACTTTCGCCGTTGCCCTTCGGGATGCAGTAGCTGTTCCATCCGGACGCCCGAGGCAGGTTATCTTGGTCTTGTAGCTGGCAAAGCTTCGACGGGCACTGCGGATGCTCCTCCCAGCCTCTGCTGCTTCGGCTAATACTGCTGCTCTTCGCTCCTTCAGATCCTCCTTTATTGCCTCTCAGCATAGCTTCGCAAGCTCGGACGTGAGTTGGTGATTGCCTGCAGCTCGTGCGACTCCACGCTGGCGTATCAGTTCGAGTTTCCGGAGACAGACGTCCCTTGGTGACTTTCAAACTCTCTGCCTTCCTGCCACTGTCGTGAAGGTGTTCAACAAGCCGATGATATTTCTCGTCAATGTTCGCGATAACGGAATCCTCCCATGAGTTGACAAGAGAAGTGAAGTGATCCCGGTTAATGAATGTCCTGGGGCTTCGCTTCCTAAACTTCGAGGCTCTCTCAATACGCATCGAAAAGTGGAACTTTGCGCGGAGGAGACGTGGAACAATCCCGTGTAGAACGTCGGAACAACAGCGACATCAGTCAGGCAAAACCTTCGATTGAAGATATTGTGGTCTATCTCGTTATGGAACTGTCCATCAGGTGACTCCCTAGTCCAGCGAAGGTGAGAGGGCTTTTGGAACTGTGAGTTACCATGGATGGTGTTGTCGACATGATAAACTCCGACAGTCATTCACCCTGCTCATTTCAATCCATTCCGTGAGTACCGATGTAAAGTTCTTCAGCCGTTCCTCGGGCCAATGTTGGCGTTGAAGTCGCCGACGATGACCTTGAAGAAAGTATGATCTTCCTTGTAGAACTCCAATTTCATATAAAATGCTTCG